TGTCTATCCCTTCTCCCTCACGTTCTTTGTCAATCTGCCACCAAGCAATTCTTACACTTTGTTTCTTATTCAAAATAAGACTTACAATCCTGAAAGGATACGAGGCATGAACTTACCAGGGTAATTACAGCATCTCTGACTTTACCATTTATTTCATTGTATACCTAAAATTAGAAAAAGCAATATCATGAAATGAGTCAACAGGATAATTGAAACAAAAAGAAGCATATTCAAATCCAACTCAAACTAGCACATAACATTAATATTAGATGCAAAAAGAACTCATCACATACCCGATCCCAGAAGCATGTTAATCCAACTTCATTAAGTGGAGGAAGTGATCTCCGAGGAAAGAATTCAATATCAAGACAATGGAAGAATTGCGACAGCCGCAGGACCATGACTTTATGATTTGACCATCTTTTAACAAGCTCCCTTAGCATGAACTTATCATGCTTCTCCCCTAAAGATGGCAACCCCTAGTAAAGTGGAAGATGGAAAGAAAAAAGAACAATGAGCAACACATCAAGTACACTAACAACTAAAAAGTCAATAGTTAAATCTTTTTTGTTTCTTACCAACACTCATATTTTATCTATTGATAGTAAAGTAATTTTTTTGATGGCTTACTGATGGTAAAATAATTAAACCATTAAGAATTTCCCACAAGACTCATGGATAAAAAAATGAGACTATGAAAATAACAACCAATCTCAAATAAAGCACTAGAATTTTTCATGCATCAAAATAGCTTAGAAACAGGAAACAGAGAACCTGAATCAGATCAGAGCCAAATATATTATCAACTGCAATGCACTTTTATAAGCAAGTAGATAATAGAGGCCTGGGAAACAAGGTTCATTTATAGCTATCTGAGATTTCAAAAATTCTCAAAAAGATATGCAGTGAAGATACATGTATTCCTGGAAATAATAGGTCTTCTTATAATTAAAGGACCAGACACCCCTTTTTGATACAATGAAGAGAATAAATGATGGGTTCAATAGAAATATATAAATAATAATAGATAAATTTACACTACAGATAAGTAATAAAGCATAAAATGTGGAGAAAGCTTACCATGCCCTCTTTCTTGGATGTGAACTGTCCCCCACACTGCTGCTTCAGCTTAGTCAGAATACTCCTTTCATGATCACCATTAGGACTATGGTAAAAAAGTAGACACTGAGCAAGCTTCTTCCTGTAAAGAGTTGGAGAGATAAATTGAGTACCAAACATTATTAAAATTCTAGGATTCCATCAAATGAAATTGAAAAATCCATCCAATATAATAACTGAAACATGAAAAAGGAATGGCAAAGAGGTCTTACCTGTAGAACTCAGCAAAAGGATCTATATCACTAATATACGTAAGAAGTTTAACCACCTCTAGAGATAAGGAATGGCAAAGAGGTCTTATCTGTAGAACTCAGCAAAAGGATCTATATCACCAAGGTTGTCAAAATCGAGATTTTACCTAAAATCGTTTTGGTTAGGTAAAATCGGAATCGTAAAATCGAATCGGTAAAATCGAGATTTTATAAAATTTAATCTATAATATATAATAAATTATATAAAATCAAAATTAAATAACAATAAATCAAATTTAGAGT